GAACCGCTGAAGTGTCGACCATTTCTGGCCGGCAACTTTTAGCGTCATTAAGCCGCTGCGCCACCGCGTCCCAATTAATTATCATCTACTCACAATTATGAGCCAAAGCACCTTCATTCCCACTTGCCCTCCAATCCTTTACCCAGCAGATTGTACAAGCATATACCTAGTGCTTCTGGCATAAGCAGACAAAGCATTTCTTGCTTCCAAATCCGAATCAGCTTTTCCTAGCCAAAATAAGCAAATTGAGCAGGTTGGCACTGGAAAGAATACCTAACAAGGACTTGTATGGACCTGATCTGAGAATGTTTTTACAATGTAATAAAAGCTAAAAGAGTGTGTGCTATGACCTTATCATGTCTGTGAGATATGCCATGGCATTCATATAATACCTGCTATGCCAAAAATCTTACTGAGCAATAGCTTTGCTATCTTAGCTATTTGTTTGAGTCCATTCATGAAGGTCCTTTTTCAAAAACTGGAATTATTACAGTAATCTTCATGTGATTATAGCAATGCAGAATAATAGTCAAAACTGATCTGTGTGGCCAATGCAAATGATGTGGACAAGATGGTCCTCAGCTGTGTCTGATATTTTTTATATCTACTTTATCAAATGTTAGACCTTCTTTTCTTTTGCTAAGTCTGAATTAGTTGCTATATTTAATATATTAAATATAAATAATCTATATTACATATAGGTTAGTGAGATAGCAGAAAATATCCTGTTGTATGGGACAGATAGGCTGGAGATTTACATCAACAAACAAGCAAAAGTAATGCATTTCTTCAGGTTTATATGACGTTCTTTAGTCACTTCTCTGGGTCAGAACCCCTAGGTCTTCTTTGTTGAATAAACAGAGCCAGTAATAAATAGGGCATTGGAGATGATGGAAGAATAAATCATTCTTATGCACTATTAACTACAATCTTTCTTCTAGAAGAAAGACCTCACCTTTTGATCAACAAAACTGTCAGTCCCTCACGGTCATGGTATGCATGTCTGACAGAATAAAAGAATGAACATAGCATTTTGAAGGAAAGCCCCTCAAAATCAATATATTATAACTGTCCAATATTTTTGGCTTGAAACCTCTGAGAGCAATAATATACTTAAAACTATAATTGGAAATTTAGTAGCTGTTTCAGCACTCAATTAATTTCTTGAATGTATGGGAAAAACTGGAGACATAAACAGTACTTACGTTGCACAAATTAGCTCTGATATACCCACAGGAGAATCAGGACCATAGAACACTTCTCACTCAAGAACAGGGAAAAGGGGGGGGGGGG